TGATGTAAAATATGTTCTTATTGGGCGGGTTTCCTTGCCCAAAAGTGTTTGCTGGTTTCGTTGGGTCTGCGAGGGCACCTGCGGAGCCTGATTTTGGGGTATAGAAAGGCACGCGCGAAGATCCAACAAAAAAAATAAAGTGTAGCCCCGGAGTTAGTGAGTTTTGTTTTTGGTGTTTTATCCTGTGCTGGCTTGGCGCCCCGAAAACTATCCATCGCTATTGTTGCAAAACATGTTTTTGTTATATATTGTTTTTTGACGTCTGCGTTTTTGTTTCCATGCTGCGTTGGCTTGCCCCATCCAAAATATTTGTACTGAAATGTTCAGATTCACCTTAGCACAAAAAGATTCACTTTAGCACAAACAGATTCACTTCAGACCCACATATATCCTGAGTAAACAACATATATCACTCTATATCATTCACAAAAGAGAAAATATTTGCCAAATATATAGTTTCAAATATATCTTAACATACTTTTAAAATTCAAAAATCAAACGTGGAAAAGACTGTGTCTGAAGCTTAAAATGTTGAAAACATAGCTTTGTTCAAAGAAGGACAAAGCGCTAAAAAAAGCAAAGTGTTTAGGTTATTCGACTAAATAGACTATTTAGGCAAACAGGCAAACAGCCTCATGGTCAGAAAATGAAACAACCAGTAGGTAGAATTTAACCTTCAAAACAAAATAGCCTATTAGATAGAAATTAGCCTAACCTGAGCTTTTGGGTTGTTTCATTTTTGATCATTTTCTCATCCAGTTTTCATGACATTGACATTTTATATATTGGTTTTCTCATGTTTCTTCAGTTTCCTCCTCAATTTTATCATTTCGTCATTGTTGTCACACAGTTTTGTGACTTTTCACCATTTTCTCATCAATTTTCTGGATTTTGATGGTTTCTTTTCTTTACATTGTTCTTTATCATATTTCATAATGTTTGTCGTTTGTTTTTTGAGATGATGTTTTTCAGAAAAATGGGAGAAATGCGTTATCGCGTCGTCAGTAAGCAGTTTTTTTGGTGCTTACCACCATTCCGGAACTATATAAAAAATTGGTTTAGATTCAGTCCAGAGTCCAGAAATTCATGTTTATGTCATTTCGATTTCATATATGATATGTTGTTATTCAAAAACGTCAATCTAGTTTAGATTCACTTGGCAATCAATTTAAGATTGATTTCAATTTACTTCCACATCAATATAAATAGGTGCATATATATATATGTGTATATTTTTGAAGTGGTAATCACAATCCAAAGCCAAAAAGCCAAAGTTGAAAAGCATGTATATATATATATATATATATCTGTCACAGTTTTCTATCTGTGATTTTTGGGTCTGGTTGACATGAAAAACTACTAATCCAAACAGGGTCGGGAATGTTTCATTCTAACGGACTTTGACCTGAGATCTGTCTGCTTATGTCTGCTTTTTTCTCCCCTCAAACTCATGAATCCATCAACAGCCAGTGGCCAATGTGGTAGGCACGCATGACAGCACTAGTTTCCAAAAAAATCAGACTTTAAAGCAAAATTTTGCATTATTCAGTTTCCAAATATGCCAAACTGATAGGTACCCTAAAGAAATTTACGACACCCTTCAATTAACATCCTTGGGAATTCATCATTCGAAAAACAATGACGTTCCTCGATAGGCATTTCTGGCACGCTCTAGTTTTCATTTTGTTGGAGTAACATTTTCCACACATAGTGTGTATGGACCATTGTCCTTTCAGGAGAACCATGCACTGCTACGTCCAGTGAACCTATCAAGTTTCAACCCTGGTGACGGACGACAAACCTCAGAACCCGCGCCGGAACCTCCGGTACCACCACACCGGAACCTATAGAATAAGAAAAAAAAACGAGAAACACTGATTGCAGCTTGTGCGCGTGCAGCAGGTAGGTAGTATGTAAGTAGCGTGTGGTTTCCAAAATGCTGCAAATAATGTGCAGCTGGCAAGTTGTGGGCTTTGGGCTGCTGCGAACTAGTGCAGGAAACAATGGATGCTATGCGTACTGTGTGTTTTATTTAGTTTCTGCGCCGTGCCACTGAACACTACTGCGCCTTGCTGCAAGTGGGAGGTAAATGGGAAGGTTTATTGAATAATAATTATTGAGCTCAAGGACCCACACTCTGGTTCAAGTCGCCGAGGAACTGCTCAGGGGGGTGAAGGGGTTTTGGCAGGTGGGTGTTCTTACTATATAAAAAATATGTATCAAATATATTTCATTAAAAGAGATCAAATACATGTCTATATATATATATATTTATTTATTTATTTATTTATTTCATAAACATGATAACAAGAAAAAAGGGGAAAACCTAAAGTGCGAAGCAAAGCATAATATTCATATAGATTTTGTTTGATTCATTGACCTTGGAAATCCAGACTACCCCCATTTGGGGAAGCGCGCGAGTGATGGAACCTTGGAACCTTGGAACCAGAAGAAATGGAAGGTCCCCCAATAAAATGCATCTTTGCCAGTCAAGTTGATGGGATTTCTTGCCATAAAAATTGATTGGTCATGAATAATTTTTTTTGGGGCCATTTATATGGTAATAGGTTGTTTATGATTAATTATGGGCTACTTATGATTAAATGATTTTTTTGCTGATTGCTCCTCCTATAATGAAGATACCGATGCATGCAGATCTTTTGGAATTTCTGAAGTGTTGCAAAGTGTTGCCCGTGGTTTTCAAAATGTTGCAAATACTTTGCACGTAGCTACTGCCAATGGTATTCCAAAAGAACAAAAAAAGTAATTTAAGATCACCGGAGCTAATTTCCTGTATAAATTTCTATCTGCAAGAATTGATTTCACATGTATGTATATATATATACATTAAATTGCAAAAGTTCACAAAACCATGTGGTTTGTTACGTTTTGTGATTTCGAGGGCGTAATTCAATTACAAACGTAAAGTTTTTTCTGTTTTTAATTTGCCTGTCTTTCAAAACCCAAAAAGTGTTCCGAACGTAACCTTCATTTTTTTGTTACGTCAATTTTCTATCTGCAAGTGGTTCACAATATTTTTTTTCATCTACTTGTTACTTACTTATTTTTTTTACCTACATATTTACTTTATTATATTATAATAAATTGTTGGTCTAATATTTTTTCGTATATTTCATTATATATTGTTCTGTCTTATTATGTTTCCTGGTTTTATTTTTATTGTATTATATTATATCATATTTTATTATTGTTTGTTATTTAAATTGAAATTAATTGAATAGATTTTTCTACATACACATAATTATCATGCAATTTGTTAGTACGTATGTATTTTATACCTTTTCCAATCAAAACCAAAACAACGTTTGAGGTCCAAAATCAAAAGCAAAAAATCAGCATACATGTTTTGTTTTGACTTAAAATCAATTGTGAAAACCAAGAAATTGATTGTAACCAATACCCGATGCTCAGGGAAATATTGAAGAGACGATTTACGTTTTTTTGGGAGTGTTTTTGATTTTCGATTTGATTTTTGAATCAAATGTTTGTTGAAAATTCTATTAAAAAAGTGTAGGTTGAAATTCCAAAATTTCAATTGAAATTAATGTTTGCTTTGTTTTCGATTGACAAATTCAACCTCGATTCAAAAAAAATCAATCTAGGATGCTCTGGGTTACTAACTGCTGACTAGCTTTGCTGCTACTATCACTGCTACCATTAATATTACTGCTACTACCTACTACTAGTCGCGTAAATATAAAATACCCTCGTAAAGCTAAAATTTTGAAAATACTTAAAACTAAAAAGGGGGAAAAAGTGAAAACCTTAAACGCCGGTAGTAGGAGTAGTAGTAGTAGTACTAGTACTAGTACTAGTACTAGTAGTAGTAGTAGTAGTAGTCGTCGTCGTATTGAATCAATTCTTTTTTACTCGTAAAACCAAAATTTTTGCTCGAGAAACCAAAATTTTTTCTACAAAAAAGGGGAAAAATGTGGATGCTTAAACGGCGGCCAGATTAACCACCATTAAATCACCATTTTTCATGGTTTTTGCACGGCTTTTCATGGCGTTTTCTCATGGCGTTTGGCGAACACACCAGGCCACGGTGACAGCGCGCAGCGCGCTGTGGTGCAGAGCGCGAAGCTCCGCGGCAGGCCGAAGAGATGCGACAGCAACGGTGCGGAGCCTGATCACCATTTGGGGATACCCAAATCCATGGGGATACCCCAGTTCTCATCCATTTTATCATAGGATTTTCCATGACATCAACCATCAATATTGTACACCAATTTATGGAAACCTCCATTTTATGAAATTAATTCATAGTGAATCATTATTAATCACCATGGTAAATATTAGTCAGTGTTAGTCAGTGTTAATCAGTGTTAATCAGTGTTAATCAGTGTTAATCAGTGTTAATCAGTGTTAATCAATTAATAATTGAATTAATGATATTGATCCTAAAATGGAGGTACTGTATCATATTTTTGGCTGTGGTAATTGGGTGTATATCCCCTGAAATTTAGCCCAAAAACATAGGCCTTACATATGGTAGGTACCTCCAATTTAGGTACCTGAAGTGGCCATTGATCATAGTTAATTGGTGTTAATCATCAATCATCATGATAGATATATTCAATGGTTTCATTTTTGTCCATCAATTTTTCATATCAGATATATCTATCATGTTTGATCATCCCCTACAAAATTGTCAAACAAATGGTAAACATGCACCAAACATGGTGAAACAAGGCTGGTTGAAGCCACTGAAAATTGTGAAAAATGATGATTTAAGGCACCAGCATACAGATCAAAAATGCTGACGTAATATATTGTTATTTTACTTTACTGTCATATACTGTCATCACCTTTACATGTCGTTTTCATGTTTTTTTTGTGTTTGTTCATTTTAGTCATTGGGATGGCTGATGGCACACGATCCAAAAGCCCAAATAACCATCAGGATCTGAGAGGCTCTCAATAGAAGGATCGGCACTTGATCACATTGCTTCATCCAACCATTTTAACGCAGTAATGCATTAGATATACCCCCTAAAACACACACACACACAAACAGACACCACTGGAATATCAAGCAACATGATCATCAACGTGGCTCCGAAGAAATGCCTTAAGCCACCTACAAGAATAGCTGAAAACAGCCAATTGTTAGGGCCACCGACCCATTTTGATGGATCAGTTAAGTTTTCATCTGTTTCCCACATTGGCTTCTTCGCCCCAAAAATACGCGCGGCCCTGTTTCCGCCTATGGTGACGGTGGTAGAACACGCCGCGGTCGCAAGGATCGGCCCTAAATCCTTCTTAATCAGCAGTCGATTCTCAAAGAGAAGGAGACCCAACGACCTAAGACGTCCGCCCTGGCGGAATCCAAGGAGATTTGGACCTTCGGCGGAAGAGCAATCCAAAAAATCAACCAGGGTTTTCAATTTCTTTGGAGGTGGTTGTACGTATATATATACATACATAGATTTGTATTTGCGAGATGGGATTGCGGAAAATGGGAATTGTTCATAGAAATCAATGGGATTTAGCCAAGAAGCATAGTGTTTAGTGACTTTAGTGGAGATTGACAGATCGTGGGGATTCAAACAGACCCCACCATTTCGATGAACGAATCTGTCTTCATTTTTTGGTGGGTCGTCTCTTGGGGGGAGTTGCCAAACAATCCCCATAGGAAAAATGGAAAACTAACCAAAAGACCAAGGGCATTTCATGGAGATCTAGATTTGTCATTTTTGATAACTTTTGTGACTGATATTGAAGCCAGACATATCGGGACGGATAAAGTACGAAATTTCTGGGCTGAGATGAGCCAACATTGGGTTACTTATAATCAACATCACCTTTAGGAAAGGACCCCTAACGACCGGAACGTACTCACGACATGTCATGTATCCCTTGAAAAAGTGTTTTGTCCAGCAAAACCCATTCGTTTAGATATGTCATTTGCAGAAAATGAAAATGAAAACCATAGAAGTTGTTCTCAAATTTTAGGATCCATATATATATATATACATACATATACGTATATCCACATGTATAGTATCATATATAGATCATATATACATATATGGGTACTGATGTTTTTTCCAGCTTCACTAGTCGTTTCACCCCAAGGAACACCACGGCGATGGGCAGCAGAAAGTAGAGCAAAGCACCACCGCCAGGCCAATCGCTGTAGATTCGAATCCTAGGAGCTCCACCACTGATGATCCTATGGAGCTGTACAAAGCCCAACCGATAGCTAAGTTGGTGAGCATACCCTCTGGTAAACATACAAAAAGCTATTGAAAATGGCCATTCATAGTGGATTTTCCCATTAAAAATGGTGATGTTCCATAGTTATGTTAGTTTACCACCATAGTTATGTTAATTTACCAGAGAGTAACTCCAATAACTATGGTTTATGGCAGATATAACGAACTAGTTAATGGGGTTTATGAACCAACTTTTAACTGGGGGGCACCACATTGTAGGATAATCATCTACTATCTAAATAATCTAATGTGGGTAAAACATGGCTAAACAATGCCATACACAACCCATTTGGGAATGGTTCAAAAGCCACCTATACAAAAGGTGATTTGGGGGATGGTTTATTATTGTTTTACCCACATTGAATGTTTTTTCGTGGTGATTTTCCTTAGACAAAAATGTTCAAAATTAGCAGAGGGTATCTAACCCATTGTAATCCATGTTTGGTGGTTTTAATCCACATTCTTCCATCATTCTCGCTCCTCAGGAACATTACCAGCTTCGCTAAATGGGTGCATGAACCGAAACATGGATTTTTTGTCACGCGTTATCGTTATGGTTATGTCATGTAGCCTGTGGGAATTTAGCAGTTAGCTATGTAAACTCACACCTCAATATATACCAGGTAAATCACCGAACTACATGCGCCATGGCTTCCATAGCTATGTTAGTCTGCTGGAGGGTAGATGTTGAAGTTTTGGTACACCCCTTTTTTATCCAACATGGAAACCGCAGCAATATCCACATGATCTGGGACCCCATTGTTCAGGTTCCATGTTGAATCAATTTGTCGTGTTCTAAAACTACCATACAGGGAACGTATTCACCTTTTTCGGATGAATTTTCTGTAGCCGAATCCGTCTGGTGAGTGCATTTTGGGTCCGGAAAACTGCAAGATCCATATCTCAAGACCGATGAAAGCATAATCCAAAATCATCAAAAAATTATCACCAAATGGAAAAAGTTGCAATTCTTCAGATCTTTTACGGGTTCCTGAGATTTCTTTGACAAGATATACACATTGTGGGGAGTTTAAGAACGAAATTATTCACATCTGGTGGGTTACAGTAGTATACTCCCCCATGACTCAGCGTATTTCCCGATATTCTAAAGAAAAAAACGCATGTTTTTTCTTCAAAGCCTCCATAGATTTGATGCATTGGAATGGTTTAACAAGAAAAACTCATACATTAAATACAGGAAAGCCCAATCTTTGGGGGGTCAAAACCAGAAAAAAACATGGTTTCTGGTGAACATGTTCCCAGCCAAACTCAGATTCCCGCAAATCCAGCGCGCCAAGGGGCACGTCCATGGTGTGCAGACCTCCAGCAGACTTCGGGTGTCGTGCTTCATCGAGGTTAGTATAATTTGGGTCTACCCTAGGGTACGTTGACATAGAGAAGCGATGGAACATGGTTCATTGTAACTATTAAACATGAACATTTAGGCTTCGAAGATTCTAAAGCGAAGGCTCCTTGGTTTGGTCGACGCTTCTCCAGAGCTATGTATTTGATTGAGTTGCTTTTTTGTTGGGGGGGCTATGTGTTCTATGTTTGAGGATTTTTGTATGTTTTCGGCCAAACACTTTTTGTTTTGCCCGAGGCACGTCGATTAACTATTGGAAATTATGGGTCATTCTGGCATTCCTGAAAAGCTCAGGTATGGGACCCGTGCGACATTGCACATGTCATCCTGAACCCTATATTACTAAAACACTAAAGCCGTAAAACCCTAAAATCTTAAACCCCACACCCTAAACTGCAAACCCATATGCGCAAAACACCTAAACCCTAAAATCCTATTTCTCAAACCCTAAAGCCTTAAACCTAAAGTGATGTTGGGCGAAACGAGGTGTCTGCGCGTATTTTTTGTTCCGCTGGTTGAATTCGGTATGTTGGGGTTATGTATGTTTCTCTTTTATTTTGCTATGTATTTGCTTTTTTTGGTTATGTAACTTGAATTTAGTATCGTGTTTTTTTAACCTTTTTTGTTTTGGCCTTGGCTTCAGGAAAATGGTTTGGCTTTTTTGGAAAAATGTATTTATTTGAATTTAACATTCTTTCTTTTTCCTCCTTTCCTTCCACATCCCCTTAAAGGAAAAACTGTTTTTGCAATAGTTGTTCTAAAGGAATGTTTATTTTGGCAATACATGTCTGAAAGAAGAATTGCTTGCAGTATCTTTTAGAGAAAAATGATGTTCATTTTCAAAAGGAACATTGCTTTTTGTAATACATGTTTCAAACATATCTCATATGTCCTTTAAAGAGAAAGGATAATTACTTTTGCCATTCTACATTTTGAAGAAACACCTACAGTGATCAAACAAGCATTCTGGCTTAAGTTGTCTGCAACGTATTTGAGGTTCTACGCATTCATGTTTCCATGATGTTTGTAGAAACATCATGTAGAGAGATAAGCATACGTACATTCAAACATATAGAATTTTGATGACTGCATTTCCAGAAATAGGTGGCACAATGGGGTCTCTAAAAAGGACCGGAAAAAATGGTGGTAACCAGATCGAGAGGTCCAGATTTTCCGGCCTTCCCAATGGGCCCAATGGGGATCCCAAGAACTGCCATATCTTGGACTTGAACAAGAAAAACAATCCTGAAATAAGTTGTGTTGCTGGATTTCCATGATATGACATGATTGATTCACTGAAACTGGTCTTCAAAAAAATGACAAGGTCTCGAGTTCCAGGATGATGTTCTTTCACTGTCCATCTATCTCCATCTATTGGCCTCCTGGAAACTCAGATGTGGGTTTAACCCACCATTTGTAGGTCATTTTCCTAGGGAAACTACGGGTTAGGTTACCATGCCCAGATCCCCTCGGACACGCCTGGGTGTTCCAATAAGATCCACAACGCGGCCGCAAGGAAGGTGCCAGCAGCACAAATGAAGAGCCTAACGCTGTGCGTTTGCTCCCCATTTTGACAAATAGATATACCATTTAGAAGATTATCATATATTATATTTATACACACGTATTTTGACACTAAAAAACTATGAACATGTATACGTATTATTTCATGTATATCAACATATATGCATATGTAATTGGTGAGGGTCTAATCACTTCCGCTTCACTCCGGAACTTGGCCTTCACATTTCTCTGTCGAGCGACGGATGGACGAACTTCTGCACATTGCTCGGCAAACGCTTTGCCAAGGTGAAACCCGCAAGAGCCGCGCACATCTGAGCAGTGTCTATGTAGCCATTGAAATCCCAATATGTGGATGGAAGAGGACCTATGTGGAGACACTAGATGCCAAAATATGTGGGTCATCAAGGCTACAGTAAATCCGGCTTACCAACAGATGATGATAAGCCCATGTTTGATGGTTCAATCACCATTTCTCCAGATATATCCGTATCATTTATTGGTTCAATCCCCATCATTGTTGGTTGATATACTGTTAATATACAGCTGGGTTGTCCATTTGAGAGTCATATCATATCCAGAAATCAAGCATTGTTGGATATATCACTAAAGTTCAATCCTCATGTTTGATGCTTGGAGACTTTTTTTTTGAGTAAAAGTCATCGTTTATCCCGAAGACTCCACCAGAATCCAAATCCCACAAGATATGTGTTCCCATATGTTCCATGATTTTCCTATATCTTCCAACGATTCCTTTTTTCAGTATATGATGTCCCGATCATGTTCCAACATTTTGATGTTCTCCAATCATGTTTTTGTTGAACCACCATATTTTTCTTGTTGTTTCACCGTCTCCAACCTCCCCAAAGCTAAGCCCGGCCGCCCCGGCCCCCAGCCGATCCCAGCCGTGCCATAAAAATGGTCTGGTCCAAGCCGGGATGAAAGCCAAAGCTGGCCGCCACGGCGGCAATCACCATGCCCACCTTAGCCCACGGGGTGGCCGATGTGTGGCGTGGGAAAAAACGGTGAAAACGTGGGAAAAAACGGATACAAAGACATGGAGATGTCCTGAAGATATGGGGAAATGGATGAAAATGCTGCGATTGAAGCAACAAAATATGGGATTCAATCATTAGCATCCTGCAAGCCAGGTTTGGTTTCAGCAGTAGTGGGGACGCTGTTGACTTGGTGGTTCATTGAAACGTTTGCCCTCGTTGTAAGTCAAAAAAAAAGGCCTGGTTCAAATGAGACAGGTTGTCGTGGTATACCATAGTAAACTATCCTAATTTTTGGTGGTAGATTGTCCTTATTCTACAAAAGATTACCCCAACCTAAGCCATAGTTCTTATAAGGGTATCTCATTCACGTATGTCAGCCATTTAGCTGTGCTTTTCAACCCAGATAGGTTTCAAAGATCTTCTACCAGTTCTACCGATTGGTGGTCCCCATTTTTTGCATTACATTCACACGCAGAAAGTCAGAGACTGTGTGGCCATGCAAAATGTCAACACTTCCCTGCTACTCAAAGCTTTACAACTTTACACAGGTTGGTAGTCAGGCAAGAAGGATGACATGGAAGAGACTTCGCTCCTGGTGGCTAATGCCTGGGCCCACGTTCGGGCATCAGCCGAAAAATCAGACCATTGAATGGTTGTCGTGCCAGCCATGCGCAGACGAATGCGGAGGCTCTGAAAGGAGGATCGAATTAGGGCCTCACACAAGCCCGGGGGATACTCCTTCGCGGCAGCCGTGCGAAAACACCCTTTGGCACGGTCATACCCAGAAAGAACTACCGTGGGTCTCAACAAATCAGGCTTCCTGCAAGCGTGCAGGTGCTGCGCTAATTTGGGTAGTCCTAAGCCTCTCAGGATGGTCGGTTTGACCGACATGGCACCGTAGCGCCACTGCTCGATGCGCACCAGCTGGGCCATAGGCGCCCTCATGAGAAGAAGTCGATGAATCATCGTGCGCCAAATCGACGCAAACCCTTCATCATCAGGCAATGCGGGATGCTCCATGATACTGCCTCCACCGGCCAGACAGATCAGGGCTTCCAACAATAAGCTGTGCAGCATGAGACTCGAACCGACACCAAGTTGGCATAACTCGCGCATCGATAGGCCAGGGAGGCCCCATGCATGTGAACTGGAGCGCAATGGTCGAGGTCCTCTTCCATGTAACTCGTCGCAAACAATGTGGCGAGCTGCCGTCCAGGTCTCACAGGGTGGGCCTGTAAGACCCAACGCAAAAGCACGTCCCTGAGCTAAATGAACTGCATGAGCAAAACTGTCTCCTTCCAAAAGGTTTCCTAACCACGGGTCAATGGCGGTGTCCATGGAAAGAGAAACCACATGAAATTCAGGCAGCAGGATTGGCGCTAAAGACTCAACCCAGTGGTGGCAGTCCATTGCACGCCTCCGACCAGAAAACATGTGAAGCACAAAAAGGGTAGGCTTCTCATGATATCCCTGCACAACAGGAACTGCTTGATGCTCCGGCCATGTGAGTACTGGTGGAGATACCGACTGTAGCAATGCGGTCTGCTCAAAGTAACCCCTGGAAAACGGCTCAAGAATCGCCTTCTTTCGAGAATCAGTGACAACTGCAGAAGGTTCCAGAATTGGGTCTGCAGGTTCACGGGCACGAGCAAGGCGATCAAATTCCGATAAGAGATCACTCATCTCAAAAAGCTTGGCAATGTCGAAAAACGCACGGTCCATACACATCTGGTAATCAGGATCCTCCGTGCGCTCAACAATGTCTGGAAGGACGGATTGGCCCCAGAGCAAAAACGCCCATGTAGCCTGATGTAGCCGTTCCTCATCCAGTGCCGCAAGGGCATCCAGGACGGCAAGCCACTGATGCATCAAATGATCATCACATAGGTCTGCAAGAGGGGTGTTTTGCAACCATGACATCGTAGCTGCAGTGCATGCGTCATAGACGATCGTCTGAAAATCAGGGGGCAATTCATCAGGAAACCCATGTTGGTGCCAAAGTTGCTGCAAATGCGCACGGCGTGCTTGCTGCTGCGTATGCCAGACAGTTGGCATCACATCTGGCATAGGGCCAGCAACCGTGCTGGCTGGCAAGCGAGAGAGGCCACGGGCAAAAGCTGGAATGTCACATTGAGCTGGCTTGTCAAGAGGTTGAAAATACTTTTGTAACACGTAATAACAACCATGCGGGTGTTGGCGACTCCACCGCAGGTGTTGCTGCAAACGTTGGGCTGTCCAAAAGCATCTGTTACAAGCCCGACATGTGGTGTCATAAATGTATTTGCGTTCGTCAGAAAAGAGCTGATGTTTGCGCCAGCGATGAGCTTGGAGTCCCTGAACCGATCCAAAACCTTGCCCACATACGGTGCAACTGAAGGTGGAGCTCGAAGCAGACAGAGGTTCAATAGGAACTTGATCAAAAATCACGCCCTTAAGACGGCAAGCCTCATAAATCTGTTGGGTCTTCTGCTTCAGCTCAAAAACGAGCCGATCTTGCTTGACAGCACGTTTGGCCAACCGCCGCACTAAGGGAGGACCATCATGATGGTGGTCATGAAGCCATTGGAACAGGGCATCAGGTGTGTCAACAGCTGCTTGGGCAAAACTCTGTGGATCTTGGAGCCTCATCCAATCAATGGCATGCCGGAGCGCTGAGCACCATGGTGACTGTGAGGCTGAGGCATCCTCTGCAGTAATGCATGTGATCAAATCTTGCGGGGCATGCTTGACCATTTTGAAAGCATAAAACAGTCGGTGCTTCGCCAAACAAGCCGAAAGTGTGGGTAGCTGCCAACATGCCTGGAAGTCACTGTCAGAAGTCCGATCCTCGCCAGAAACCATCGGCGGCAATTCGCCGTTGCCACTGCACAATAACATGGGCAAGCTTTGTGTACATGCGATGGTTCAGTAAGGGCCATGTGCCAGAGCCATAAAAGACAATAGACAACACAAGGGACTCCAAAAGCTGCAACCTCAACGCAGGGGCAAGCTTCTTGTTGGCAAAGATAGTTCGAGACATCTGTCGGAAGGCTGCTGAGGCTTTCCCAATGCGACCGCTCATTTCGCTTTGAAGAGACAGAGATTGGCTGAAAACCGTGCCGAGATGTTGATACTGGCCAACTACATGCAACGAAGAACCATCTGGTAGAGCAAGTTGTCCAGCATGTTCTACAAATCTGCGATGACGGCAAGCAACCGCATCGGGGCCATGATACTGGCAAACCAGTTCGGTCTTGCCAGCTTGCATGTTGAGTTGCAGCCCGTAGGAATGAAAAGCATCTCGCACAGCAGTCAAAACAGCAACAATTTGTCTGTCCAGATCCTTCGCATGCAAAACAGTCACCGGGATTGCTAAATCATCGACCCATGTCACCAGAGGAGCCGAAGTCGGCAAATGAGCCTCCGCAGCATTCATGAGACCGCACTGACGTAGAAACGGCAAAATGTCATGAAGGACATTCATCATCGTGATGGTATAGGCAATGTCGGCAAGAGGGCTCCCTGGCCGGGAGCCACGATGTGTGCGATGGCAGTCAGGGTTGCCATCGACCACATACCATGTGAACTCATGTGCATCGCGAACCGCCCGCTGCAAGGCAAAATTGGGCAATGTGGCAAAGCGAGCATGATGAGGGTCAATGTCTTTGCAAAGCTGCTGCACGTCAAGGCCAGCTCGAGAAAGCACATCACACAGGCGGGGAGACAATGCAGCACCGCCAAAGGCATGTTCTCGAATCATACTATGAAAGGCAGCTTTCACATCAAAAAACAGGACCCCAAATGACTGCTGAGCTCGGGTGGCCAAATTGCAGAAAGTCCGCAATAAATGCGTGGCAAAACTCATCTGCTGGCCATGAAATCCCCCTAGCTGAGCCGGGACCTTCATGGAGGTGGTCCAGCCAATGAGCATCTGGCGCAACAGCGCATGATAAAGTTTACCACATGTTGTCAAGAGCATGATGCCCCTCATGGCATCTGCCCGCATTACAGTGGCTTTTTTCGGAATCACATGCATTTTTCCACCTTTCCACTGAAGCGGCTCGGCGCCCTGAATGAAGGCTTTGAGAATCAACTGGTGGAAAGTATCGGAGGCAAACACAGCATGTCGGCTAAGAGTTTCGGACGTCACTTGGTCAATACCAGGCGCCTTTCCCTTCTTGGCCTTGCAGCACGACCTCTCAATGTCAATGCGAGAGGGCAAGTCAGTGAGCGGGACAACCAATGGTGCCTCTGCAAGGGCTGCTTGCTGTGCTCGATGACAATCCCGCAGAAGAGTAGGGTAGGTAGTGGCCTCACCAGCTTCCAAGGCATCAAAATGTCGCACAATGTCAGTTGTGGCGGGACCCACACAGCGCAAATTGTTGGCACGCTTGGCAGCAGCGCGAGGCAACAAAGGTTTGAGGGTTTTCCAGACGGTTGGCAGTGATTCATCGGAATGTCTCTCTGCAAACTGCTGATAGTAGTCAGTGTCATCCTGACGAACTCGTTGAGCCACAGAAGGACAAAGCCGCTTGTAACAATACAAGTGCCACGCAAGGTCAAACTGGCTTTGCTTCAGCCAGGTGTGAGAAAAACATGGTGTGGAGGCAAAGCGCTCCCCACGCCATCCATCAAACACACTGCGCAGGAAGGCCATTCGGACAGTATGTCGGATCTGGCGAAATCGCTTCCAATGATAGGCTTTGCTTTGTATCAGGTACCAGGTGGCATCTTGTAAGTGTCGCTTCCGAGGAAGCCGAGGGCGTCGAGGTTGACATCGTTGCAGCCATTGATGAATGTGCACAGCATGAGAATGCACATCCTCAGACCAAGCGACCAACGGGGGTGCATTCATATTCTCAGCAATGCAAGAGTCCTTGGGGCATTTTGGTCGCGGAGCACGGTCCTGTTGCCAAAATGTGAAAGGAATGTCAGCAGCAACAACAAAATGATCAGGACGTTGGATGGCCAAATCAATGTCCAAAACCAAAGTGCGCAGATTGGGGTGCCGTAAACATTCATCAACAAGGACAAAATCAATGCGCCCTTCAACACCAGTTGCATGTGCAAAGGTGGATGCATCGCCCTCGTGATGTTCATCAAAGGTCTGCGGTGCAAACATCTGGTTGTCGCAAAGCCATTGATGCATCATTTCACCATGAACATTTTCATCACTGGCCTGGTGAGGTCCAATTGATTGTGAGACCAGAGAGCCAACGCGCGCATTGGCATCCACCAGGAGAATACGTGGCCATGATCGCAGTGCAGAAGGAAGATCCTGCAGGGCTTGGGTCCACCAGCATTGGGCAGCTTCTACATCAGGCATACATGGCACATGCCCAGCGACCAAAATCAAACGAAGGCCATCAGCAGACACCCGTACAATCAACTTGCGTGCAGACTGATGGATGATGCGAATATGGGAAGCGCGCACATGGAGGATGCCAGTGTGATGAACAATCTGTTTTGCAATCCATATTTGAACTCCAGAGTGGCCCTTCTGTGAGGCAGAGGCAGAAAGCACGTGATAAAACTCCGTATCATGATGGCCTTTCATCTTGGACCTGGTTTCCTGAATGCCTGCGATCTGGATTCCTTGTTCATGAAAGCTCTTCATAAGTGCCTCATGACGGGCAGAAATAAAGCCTCCTTGTGCTGCTCGATTGGAATAGAGCGTAAGGACATTGGCCGTAGCAACCCGTAGATCCATGGAACAAGTAGCCCGAGGTCCCTCATGATATGCATCCTGAAATTGGGTAAAAGTGTGTGCCGTGGCATCTGCAATGGGTTCGTCACGATGCTCAATGGTAAAACAGAAAGCACCTTCACAGATGCGAGGATATCCAATTCGGCAATCACGAGCATTCTGCCAGAACCATAGCCATTCTATCACATCATCAAATGGTGAAAGATGGTCAGCACACAGTTGACCAAAGTCAAAGGCGGGAATCCAGCCATGCATGGCAGCCCAGCATGCAGCATCAGCAGCTTCGTTCCATGGATCACCCTGATGACTCGGCACATGGATGAAATCAACAGAGCACTGAAACCGGCACTGAATCCAATGTTGGAGCGCCCGAGTACGCCTGTGCACGGTGGCATGATGCTGGCAAAGCCAAGTGCCTTGAGCAGCGGCTCCAGCGGCAAGGCAATCAAAAGCGAAAACCAGCGGAACACTTTGCACTCCATAGGTCCACAAACACCATTCCAAGAGCTGAATACTCCAAAGAGTAGCAAGGTGTAATGCCGCATGTTCAGCCAAGGGTGCTGTAGCTGGCAGTGGCACCGTACAGGCACGAAAACCACCAAACTGAAATCCCCAGTCGGTTTCAAGGATCAAAACGACGGAGGCTGAGGCTTGCCGAACTCCAACATCATGAGAAAGGCTGGAAGCTCCATCTGTATAGAACCATATTCTTCGGGGCAGTGCTCCACTCCAGTCAGCAATGAGGTGCCGAGCAAGCAATGTCTGCTGGTGCCATTTAACAACACTTGCAAATGACTGGACTGGGCCTAAGTCCATGAGCAAAAGTTGATTGGCAAAAAACTCAATCTTTCGACAAGGGGTGCGGATGATCGTGGTACGGCAGGGAATCAAATCAAAAAGAATAAGAGATCGAGGTTGGTCATTGACGTCCACCAGGTGCTTCGAGCCGTTTCGTGCAACGTGATCGCTTTGAGGATCAACCGATTCAGAGGTCTCAGAAGCATCTGTGCGAGACGCAAGCATAGTATGGAGCTGGCGTTGGATCGCAACAATCTTGGTCTGCAGCAAATTGATGGCGTCCCCAGAATCCAAATCATGTGGATGAGGTACGGCCAAACTGTGAGGCACATGATGGGCTAGTTCAACTACAACATGAAGCGACACTCCATGAGACAATCGAGGACCAAAGTCGTCGGTCACACGCTGGTCTCCATGCCAAACTGTGCAAACGGTACCAGGTGCAAAAGGCGGGCATTGGGTCAGCACGCCAGCAGCATTGGTAAGTTGAGCCATGTCAGCATCAGCAGAAAGTAGGTCACAGACCAAGCGTGGATCCCAAGGGTCTCCCCACAAATCAATCACCGATAGAATAACGGTGTAAATTTCAGGCAAAGGTTGTTGGAGAAGAACAACATGCACCGCCAGGTGACCCTGGCCATCAAGAGGGGTGGGTGCAACCACAAAAACCTCAAGCGGCAACTCCATCAAAATCTGATCACTCCAGATATTGGTAATTCGACGGCGCCAGCTGGCAAAGTCGCCGCCAAGCCGAACCGTGCGATGCTCATCAGAGCGTCTGTAGGTGATGTGATTGGAATACCATAATGCTGCAACCTCAAACATACCATCCGCTTGATCACCTTGTCGCTGTTGCCAAGATCGCCACACTTCAAGCAACTGCTGGACAAAAGCAGGTTGATCCTCCTCCTGAGGGGGAGGAGGTGGATCACGAGCAGCTTGATCATGGTATTCCTGAATAACTTGTCTGACAGCATGGTCAGTGTGATGCTGATGCAAGGGACACGCAGTAGATGAGGCTGTATCTTGAAGGAGTGAAAGACCTTCATGCATGTCAACATCAAGAGGTGACGGCACTTGCAAAGGCGCTGCATATGGCATGGGTTTCACTCGAACTCGCATGCCTTGGCCGGAAAAGATTTCAGTAGCCACAGCAACATTGAGCTGGTGTGTGCCAATCCAAGCGGAACATGCCCGCACAGTACAGTGGGGAACAAGCTCAGCTTCTTGGATCACATCTTCCGCAGTGACAAATCTTGGAAAGGACTTGGCAAACTGCATCAGTGCACTTCGTTGTGCCGACTCAAGAGTAGCAGACACCACAATAGCAGCACGGCCATTAGTGGGGGCTTGCTCAAGGATGACATGTCCAGCGTAAGATTGCAGGGGTTCCTGCAATGGCGGTGGTTGCACTACATGAAATCGTACTGGTCGATGTGGGTCAAGCAAATCGCTCCAGGTCTGGCGGAGGTCAAGGGACCAAGAAATGATCTCATTCGTCAAACGCACAGGCCGAGGATGACGGCACCACACATGCGAGTCATGGTGAATGTACCAAGTCTGAAGGTAGAGGTACGTTGGTCCATCAATGACTTCCTCAGAGCCCTCTGCCCGCATGAGTTGGACCATTTGCTGCATCCAGAGACCGGACCAATCCACAGCTGGCAGGCCAGTTGGAGCAGGACGGCGACCAGATTCGGTGACAGGGAAATCATCAATCTCGTGTTCTTCGCCATTCTTGTGCTGTTGCAATCGGGTCTGCCTAGTGGATGCATTTTGGGGCCCAGCTGGCTGGTCTGCTTGAGCTTCAGCAGCAAGGATGTCGGCTGCTAATTCACCTGCCATGGGGAAGTCGAAGAGCTCAGCAGCTTCCTGTGCAACACGAACTGCATGAGCAGTATCACAGTGGGTGTCTGGGGGAGGCGGTACAATCACTTTGAAACACGCGCCGTGTTGTATTCGGCGTGGTGCTCGTTCCAGAATTGGCCAGCCACGTCCATTGTGAAGAACTAGCCATCTGTCATCCATCCATTCACAATAAGCATCAACACCAACGATCTGCAGCAAATGACTGCGGCGCAACATTGGGTACACTCGATGCACCTGTCGCGTGACATGGGGTCGAACAGGTGGTGCACGGAGAATGGGATGAGCATGAAGTTCAATATCAAGGATCACAAGGCACTCGATGGACGCGGGCTGAATGTCATGAATGTGATGAAGAATCACGGAACGGACATCCACAGGTTGGTCAGGCAGGGCACATTGGAGGTGGTGTATTGTAACCACATCTAAGATGGGCACTTCAGCAATGCGCGCAACAGAAGCAATGGCTGCATTGTGAGAACTCCAGTCAGCATGGCCAAACGATGTAGGATGCCCAAGCCGATGCACAAAAACTGCCTGTCGATCAATAGTGGAAGCCATTGAAACATTGGAATCGTCATCATCAGCTGCATCATCACTTCTCACCATCGGTGCATTCTCAACAGAGGTGTCAGCATGGGAAGGATTAGCATCTGTTGTAGCCGGTGTTGTTGAAGCCGCATCACGAGTTGCAAGTCGCCTGATGACAAAGCTTTGCCCATCACGAGCATCATGCACTGGTCTGTCATTCCATTCCAGAGGATGGCGTCCATGTCGAACGGCACAATCATGAAGGTGACAGTCTTGTGTAAGATGTGCTCTGGCAGCAATGTACTTGGCACTAACCATGTGCGGCAGCGAAATGGCTAAAGATCGTTCTGCACGTTGTTGGGGGTCATGATGTCGCAAAACAGTGGCCAAACACGCTCGTCGTGGCAAATCCAAACCTTGCACTACCAGCACATCAAAGAGGACAGGATGGAAGGCACCACTACGAGGAGGATTTGGAAACACTAAGGCAAGTGCGACATCTTCATCTCGGTTCACTTGGTCAGTCCACACGCTCAAAATGTCAGCGGCCCAGAATCGCCAGTGGCCATGAAGCTGGGAATCTCTTGGAACAGTCCATTCAGGGACCCGTCGATGGTGAATATACCAGCTACGCAGGGAGATTTCCTCAGAGAGTTCATCGCCTTCAATGAGGTCCTCTTCCATGAATGCAGCAAACAAATCTTGAATGGATTGAGGTGCTTCATGTAGGAACGGTCCGGCATGTTGGCCATGTTGCTGTGCATCTTGTGTGTCATCGACATGAACATGTTGGAGAGGATCAATGCGTTCATCGGCAGTCCGAAAAGCACGAGTTGGGGCCATATGGCAAGCACTCCACGGCTTGTCAGGCCAATCCTGCAAAACAGACTCATGTAAAGGAAAACTCTGCAAAGTCCATTCATCATCAAGGCCAAGCGCAAGGGAAATGGTAGGATTGAACCTCACCTGTCGTCTGCTGCCCACAGCAGGGCGTGAGGTCATGCGCACAACATCATGATGTGATTGGGATTGCAAGGTGCCCAAATCAAAGGACAAACACAATGCTCGAAAAGAGGCTTGCCATACCGATTGGAAGGTGGGTTCGGAGAGAATGGAGTGTGTCCATGCCAACGTTGCTGCATGCCCAACTCCAGTGACCAAACGGCCATCGCAAGGGCTCTGCGAGGCAGACGCTACTTGCGGGCCCCACCAAAAGGCTCCAAAGCACCAGAGCCAGGTGCTGCTGCAGGGGCAGGTGGCACGGCTTCTTCGAGCCGAGGCCGTTTTGCAGAAGTTTCTTCTGCAGCGGCAGCTACTTCTGCGCTCTCCTTGAGAGTGGCCAAATGACCGCGCATCGACTCCAAATCTTGTTGCAGTCTTGTCACGGCAGGGTCCTCCTTTTCGTCCTCTGCATCGACAGTCATCACTGCTTCTGCATCCTCGACGAGACGTTGATCGGTCTGATTCAGATCTGTCAGGGCATTCCTGCACTCTTCGAAAACCTCTTTGGCACTGTGAAGACACTGCTTGGCCTCTTCGATGCGCGCCACCAAGTCTGCTTCCTGCTGCTTGAATCCCTCGGTATAGGTCTGCCAAGTAGTCAAAGCCTCGTTCAGGAAGTGACGCCATGAGCCATGCAGCTGGTGGCGAGCCAAATGAGCTTGATCGAGAGCCTCTCGAGCTTTGCCAAGATCTGTCACTGCTTGATGCATCGTTTTGGTCGTGCGTTGACCTTGGCGCTTCTGGTAGCGCTGCAGAATGGTGTGAGCATCTGCTGGTAGGTCTGGCACTTTCTTCATATCGTTCAACAAGCTGCGAATCTGGGCATCTGAAATGGTCCCTGTAGAACCCGAGGCCGCAGGGGAAGCAGTCAGGGTAGGCTTCCATGGTGGGTCTGGCAAAGCAATACCCAATGCTGCAGGCCCGTATTGAGGCTCGGCCGGCCCTTGAGGCGCCTTGCCTTTTCCTTTGCCCTTGTGCTTGGTCATACCTTTTCCTTTGCGACCTTTGCTGTGGCTGCGCCTTGGGGACGCTGGTCGATGTGGAGGTTGTGTCTCCCAATCTCCATTCCATCCATTCCACTCGTCTTCCCACTGATCCTCCTGGCTGTTGGTCCATCCAGAGGTTCGATGCCGTGGGCTTTTGCCAGTGCCACGGGGTTGATGCACAAAGGTTTGATCTCGCTCTGTCCACCAGCTTCCACAATCGGGGCAACGCTGATGAGTGTGCTTGCAAAGGCGCCAACACCAACCGCACCTCCAGGGATCTTTCTCGACTGTAGCCATTTCGACTGCTGCGATGCGATGCAAAAACGCAGGGTCGCGGGAATGGTGTGTCGACAAAATCTGTCTGATAGCCTGAATACGGATAGGAGTGAGCTTCTTGTACCCTTTGCAAAACAAATGCCAGTCCAAACGCGCTCGGGCTCGAGATCGACGCTGGGCACGGCGATGAGTATCTTTCGTCGTAATGAGTCTCAAAATTGGCCACGCAAAAAATCTGGATCAGAAAAGCAATGAAATTGAACATACACAAAGACCGAGTCGATGCCAGAGTCCACAATCAAATTGCTCAGTGTTCGGGACACTGCAGAACCCAGAAAATATCGCACCCAAAAATAAGTCCAAAAATATCCCAGAGGCACGAATGCAGCTAAGGAATACAAATTGGATAAGCCAACTGCCAGGGTTAGACCAGTTCAGCAGCAGCGTAGAATGAGGACAAAGTCCAGCGGGATGACAAAGTGCAGGAAAAGTTCACACTGCAAGTAGTCAAAGCCAAAGAGCAATGCCAAATAATGCCAATACGGGATAGGGCAACTGGCTGAGCAACGGTGTTAGCGGCTTGCTCTGAACCGCCAGAGCACAACTGGCCACCGCCGCTGCAAAGAAGCCGGCTGCCCGTGGGTCTATGGCAAACCCACTAAGGTCACGGAACGGGTGTCGTACCCTGCACAACCCTGGGGGGGTAGTTCTTCCCAGGAGAAGTGCTTACAGCCGAGACCTTGGTGGTCCCCATGGGTAAATAAACTTTGTGACAAGAACTCAAGAAGTTCCCAAGAAAACGAGTCTTGGAAATCAAGTGCTTATAGACATAGTCCTACTTTTTAGGATAAACTACAGTGAAATCCACATGTTTGTCGGCAAAGTTGTACCCTATAGTTTGGATTTCCCAAGTGATCTTGAAAACAAGCGATGCCCCAGATGCCTTGATACATCCTCATGTTTCTTGCTAAGCTTCACTCAGAATTCTTCTTTCCTACTTAAATCTCGCATGTCTTGAACGACAGTTTGCCATGGATAATTTTCCCAGCTATAAACCTACATTTGTTTAAGGATTTCCCAGCTGCCGAAATGTCTTGGACTTCCAGATTTCAGCTTCCTTGTTGAGCTAGTTAGATCTAGTTAGGATAGATTTATTCTACAATATATTTATATATGTATACATGATTATACATGTATGTATATGTATAAATGTAAAAATAAAAAGTATGTAAAAACAAAAATGTCTAGATGTATAATGCAAATGTATAGATCTGTGAATATATATATATATATGTGTGTAAAAAGTATATATATATATCATTCATATATATATATATGTATCATATAAATATATATGTATATCTATGTATCTATGTATCTATGTATCTATGTATCTATGTATCTGTGTATCTACGTATCTATGTATCTATGTATCTATGTATATCTATGTATCTATGTATCTATGTATCTATGTCTGTCTGTCTTTATGTCTGATGTATGTAAACGTATGCATATATTTATATGTCTTATATTTACTATAATATATATATATATATGTATTTTTATATATACATACATAATTATATATGTTTAGGTATAGGGTATATAAAACCTCCGTACACTGCCCACTTCCCCTGCCGCTTCCCCAGTCATCCCGCGGTCCATCTGCGGCAAAGCACCACGAAACGCAGGTAGGGAAAGCGCGCCGGCGCGCTCTTTTGTGCAGGTGTTGCAGGTGCTTGCCTCGGGTGTAGGACTGTTAGTTGGTTTAGTTACTGTGAGGACTGTTGGTTGATGGATATCCATGGATATCAATGGATACACATGGATACAAATGAGATCTACCCAAGTTCCGTATGGGTTGAAGAACCACTTACGTACTTCTGCACATCCAATGGAATCACCATTTAGCAACTCAGAGTGCTTTCTGCGAGCTCTTTATCAGTGGCATTTACTACTTGGTGATGGAGTCACCAATGTGGGGATAGCTGATCTTTCCGTTGCTAATCCCATCCCCCTTCCTATAAAAGAGTCCCAAATATGTGGTTTCATCCCCTACATCCACCATGGGGAATGGAATTCTTCACCAAGTACACGACCCGGTGCCAAGGTCTCCCCAGTTCAGGTAGCCTCCGTGAAAAACCGACGTGGCTGGGAAATGTCCCGAACTAAATGAAGGTTTAGTTCGCACATCGCTGGGAAAATCATTAAACTACTTAGATAGGCTGGGTCTTTACTCACTACTTGTTACAGTTAAGTAAGTTATAACTGCCTGAATTAGTAAGTGGATTTCTAGGTAGCCACGTTTGATTCCCAGAAGGTCTACAGTCTATGGCCCTTGAAACAACAGACCAAAACACTTCGACGGCTCGGGTGATTCCAAGTCAACATCCGGAAAGGCGCCTGAGGCCGCAAAAAGCCATTGAAGATTTAAGGCGTTGGTTGGGACATAGTACCCTTTGGTAAAATGCAGGTATTATGCGGGCATAGGAATTTTCATGGGATTTTCATGGAATATGGATGACTTGAATATTGGTTAATACCCTCTGGTAATCAAACATGGCTAGCTTGAGAATCCCCTATAGATGGGTGCCTTTGATGGGAAAATCATGGAACTAAATTGCAGATTTTCCAGCAAGCCATGTTTGATTGCCAGAAGGTATATCATTGGGATAACAAGGAATTCCACATGTTGGGACAACAACATAGAAACCATCCTTGGTCATGGCATTTTTTGAAACCCTGCCTCTTGGTTAGTATATATAATATTATATAATAGGGATTCCCATTAAATCCCATGAATTCCCAGTATATTCCTATATAACTATATATAATCATATTAATATGATACATGATTATATAACTATTATATATGTATACCATTGTATACCCATTTATGGCTACCCATCACGAGTCCAGTTCACCATCTGTTTGAAGCCAGTTCGTCGTTTTGTTGGTGAAAATCCGCATCCTTTTTCGCTGGTCATCAGCCACGCTGGCTGAAGAAGTGGGATTTCCGAGCCACGTTTGAGTACCAACGGATATCCCATGGTCCCATATTCCATGGAAAATCCCCATGAAGATTCCATGCAAATATCCCCATGCCAGCATTTTACCAAAGGCTACGAACACCATCATTAGCCAACATTAAGCACCAACATTGATTTACCATTATTCAGCCCTAATTTGATTTATCAAAGGGTAATGGTTACAGTAATGGTTGGTTAATGGTTAATGGTTAATGATGTTTACCAGGTTGATTATTCAGCAGAGGCTATACCCATGAAACTAACCTAACCTCAATCCCCAAGCAGAACATCGCCGGCATTTGGTGGCCGGGCTGGCCACCACAGCAGTGCTGGTGAAGGTGATGAACCAACCTGGTTGCAACGCGTCGCAACGCGTCGCAATGCCGCGACAGATCCGTGTCCAACAAACGGGTGGATCTTGAACCCGGCAACATCTTGGGAAGATCATGGGATAGAGAAGCAACACATGATGTGGGGATTGAACCAATACATGATACTGATATACTGTAGATATCTGGATGGTGATCATCCCCAATTCTTGGCATTCGGATGAATTAAATGATTGATCCAACTGGTGTTTTCACAAACAGAACATGTGTTTTTTGCATTTGTCCAGCAAAGGGGATTTTGACCGACCATAATGGGATTAATTATACAGAATTAATCAGAATTATAAGAGGGGGGAATGTAATCAACAAGGTGAGTCTGTATGGGTTTGTCCTCCTCCATGTTTTTTTTGCAATGGGGAGAACCAGGTTTCCAGCTTAATGATATTTTGGGGGAGCCTGTTTTCAGATCAACCCATGTGCACTTCGTCAATTGATGATTCAACACATGATTCGTTTACATGAGAATTGTCGGACTATGTTGAAAATGACAACGTTAATGTTGAAACATAGTCCGACAATTCTACATAATCATGTAAATGTGCAAGAATGTGCAAGATGAATTGACATTAATTGTTAAACAATCTGCAACTTGGCATTTTTTCCAGCTTCTTTCGTCATCCAGTCACTGCTGATGTTTCCTTGTGGGGATTCCATGAGGCAATCTCACGATGTCATGACACCATGTTGATCAGCGATCGACCACCAACATGTTGGCTAAACATCTTATATGTTGTACTTGTTTGTTGAAACATGTTGAAACAGTCAGGGATTCGATGTTCGTTTGAGAAAGACTCACTTCAGGTTTTGTTGGTCCATCTGCTGTTCTTTCAGCTTCGCAGTAGGTAATCTTGTTGACAATCGGAATACAACATGCAGAAAGGAAACATTTTATCTGGATTTAGGATTTGACAAAAAGAGGATCTCTTTCCTGGACCCAATCCATATTTTCCAATTTTTTTCACCATAGATCACCATAGGATACACCATAGGGCAATCCGCCAAAAACTTGGCAATTTTGGATGGTCAAAGTGATGGCCACGGCTCGACGCGGTGCTCGACAAGGCACCCACGAGCAGCAAAAGAAGCACGCCTCAAAATTCATGACAAAGGGGCCATGCTGTTTCAAGCGAACAAAGGCACATTAACAATCATTAACAATCATTACCCTCTGGTAAACGAACACAGCGAACTGGAAAATCACCATCATTAATGGGTAAATCAACTACCTGGGCATCCAAAAGCTGCATTTTTTTTGGTCTGGACTGAAAAGTAGTGAACGACCAAAAATCGAACAATTGCTGATTTTGCCCTCTGTCAGTCACATTTGGAAGGACCAAAAATATGACGCAAAATGACGCAGAAAAGACGCGAAAGACCAACTTTTTGACACCAAAACTGTGTCATTGAATCCATCACTCTTAGCCCAAAACTGATTTTTAGGCCCGCACCCGAAAATCCACAAAGATCGAAAATTATGCGGCTCAAGGACTGTCCAGGTATTTATCATTTATCTATGGTCCATGTTCGATAACAAACTATTAAATTACCAGAGGGTAACAAGGGCAATGATTGGACCCCATGGTATCTGACATCTGTGATCAGCAAATTCCAGCATTTTTGATGTTGCCAAAAAAATACGCAACAAATCATCCAATGTGCGGTGATTATGCATCTTCATGGAACTCCTAAAAAAATGGATGATTTAAAGGGGTACCCCCATGGATTGGACACCTCCATATTGAATCATATTGAGGGCTTCGTCTGAGAGCTAAAAAGGAGCTTCTACGTTCATGGGCTGTGATACTTATCAATATATTGACTATAGTACCACCAACTAGTTCACACTGATTTGCTTGGCAATATCGCAATTTATTGACTAGTACATAGTGAAATGATTGACAATATCAGGAATGATAGTTGGTCAATGATATCTCAGATATATCGTGAAGCATCTGGGACATCAACAAAAATGTTAGTCGACAAGCATGGCATCCAGCGGTCAAGCCCAGTTGGGGATGATTCGGTACTGGGTCAACCAAAAGAACTGATTCGGACCTCAAAATCTGACAGAATGAAAAAGAGTACAGTACTGAGAAATGTGGCATATCTCTCAAAAAAAAAACACCGCGTTTTTGTTCAAAATACTCCACGTAGTTTCAATTACATTATAGCTGACAAGATCAATGAACACGTATACCATCAATCTGTCGGTGTATCCAGCTAACATTCACTTCAAATCACCACTTTAGCTGGTGAAGCTTTTGTTTGTTCTAGATTATGTAAAAAAAACAAGTGGATTTACTCCCACCAAGCTTGTCATTGTGATAGCCATCACAGTTATCGATATCACTGATTGAATCTGATTGATGTGATTGGTAGTTTCAACAACCTGAACAACAGGCCACTCAACTAGGACAATCATCCCAGACCAGTGCCCCAATTCCAGTGCCATACTTCGCGAAGTTACTTTCAAACTAGTTTCACAATCATAAAATCTATGGATGCAAAGTATATATAGTATATTTAAGCCATAAAAAACATCGTTTAACCATGATTGTTGGTTTATCAACCCAGTTACGGTACATTATTTTTTTCACATGTTTTCACCACTTTTTTTTAAGGATAGGTTGGTAAAAACATATAAAAACCACTTCTTTCACCAGGCGCTTGAGCCGCTTGGGCCAAGGGTCGGAGAATGCCCCACAGACCCAGCTCCGCGTGGATCAAGGAGACCCGCACCTCGGACCATCCATGACCATCCCGGTTTCGTGCCGGTTTCGCCAACTTTGCCTAGCTATTGAAAATGGTCAATGATAGTGGATTTTCCCATGAAAAATGGTGATTTTCCATAGTTATGTTATAGTTTACCATTTTGGGTAGCTCAAATTGGAGCGAAAAAAAATCGAATGTCTCACCGAAATCTAGATTTGATCACCGAAATTCATCCGCTGAAAAAAAAAGTGACTTTATCGAAAAAATAATGGCATAATGAATGGATCATCCATCCATAAATGGCTGATTTTCCATAGGTTAAAGATGCCAACAAGTAGCTTTCTGGTGAAACAAAGCTGTGATTTTCCAAGCCACTTTGGATGGGCTGATGGATCGCTGAGGGTATCTTTCAGCATACGAAGTCAATGTATTCATTGCTACATTACATATATATTTTATTCATGTTTATTCTATATATATATGTATGTAATTGTAGATATGCAATTTATGTAATTCTATAATATGTGTGGAGTTGTATGGATGTAGATAAAAACATTAATATTTGCCATCGTCATCCCAACGGGTGTATAGGTCATCAGGGCATCCCAGTATGATTCAGAGTTGTGGTGTCCATGGAAATCATGCGAGTACATGTGTGATAATCAATCATATAGTAATTAGTTCATAGATCTGTAATGTCAACCCCGGATTAATAAACCAGGGTTTATTTTTATTGGGTACTCCTCCAATAGTCATAATATGATACTTAAATGGCACCCTCCCAATTAAACAATCTAGGGGTTTATTAATCCAGGGATGACATTAATTAATATAATATATAATAATATAGACATATGATTAGACTGTATTATTATGATTTATTATGTATTTTTTCTTGCGTTCCATTTCCATTGCAGTAATTTGTCCATCTTCCATGCCGCACGCTTGGACCCCAACCAGTGCGGGCACGAAGAAAACAATGAGCCTCGTGGCGATCAGCGGAGATCAGCGCTTCGTCGGGCCATGTTTGAAGATCTTTTTGAGTCAAAAAGAACTAAAATCCGGCTGAAATCGTGGTAAATTATACTGTTCGATCCTTTTTGGGGGATAGATGGGGATAGAAAAAACATGAAAAAACCATGGTCTACGCGACCTGAAGATGATCCAGAAAGCCCCATGACACATGCGCGTGAGCGCATTCACATCCCGATTGACCTCACTTGTTGGCTCTGAGAATGTGCCACTTCTTGGCACTTCCCCAGCAAAATAAGTCGGACTCGCAACCATCAGTTGGGCATCATGGCATATTGAAATCCTTCCCCCATCCATATATCAATGGTGGATGTAGGGGGCTGAAACCATGTCTGGAACATTCTGGAACCATGGAATGAGGTCTGAAACCCATACTTCCCTCGAGAATGCCTGAAGGATTGTCGCTACATCTTGAGCTGTTATCCGTTTCAAGGGCTGCAAGCCACTCATCATGGATCCTAAGCTAAGCGATTGAATTGAAAACACTCCAAACTGCTCACATGGGCTCCAAAGTTGATCAATATGAGGGCATGTTGAGATGGGCTCCCCAATGATCTTTCAAACTGATGTATTTCTGTGCTGGAAGGCCAGAAAGTGGGTGTATTTAGTGAGCAACGAAACTCCCCATTTTGCCCGCATCCGGTGCGCATTTATGTGAACAAAAAACATACAAACATGAAGCTATGGGTCAAACATTAGGTACAAAAATCAGACCCATCTGTGGTCGACCAACGCAACCGCATTCGCTGCCGGGCTACCACTTCACCAAGAATCGATAGCCGGGCTCGAGCCACTTGAAAACACGCTCGGCCCAACTGCGGGCGGTTTTGGCTGCGGGGTCCGGGGCAATTTTGTGGAAACTGGGATTGCGTGTCCTGGTAACTCGGAACATGGTGACAAAATCAACGAAACTGATGTGTTTCAGTACGAAAGGATTGTCCCAGAATCATTATGGAAATATTTCAGGGGGTCCACCCACGGTGGTAACCCCAATTTTTCCACGGTTGGATTTAGCGGATGATACCTGATAGATCCAGCGATGGTACGTCACCCAGTTCTATCGGTTCTGTGCCAACTGTGATGCGCGACTCGAAGTAGGGCGGTCGTGGCACTGTGCTGAAAACCCTACTTGGATGTGCTTCCTAAATAGTACGTGGTGTACAACCTCCATATATTTAGAGGTAATGGAAAAAGTGAGTGAAAAATGAACATGTGTTGCAATTATCTGCATATATGGAGAAAGTCAGAAAGTCCACAACTGGGTCATAAAATGTTACAATGTCATGGCGTGTGGTTAGAATCCGCACTTGTTATTCCTGGGTTGCATCCCCTGCTTCTGACTCCCAACAAGACTCCTTGGCCGGACCTGTCAAATCGGGTTTACCCAATGCTACAGCACTTGGCTATTTCGTGATTTTCACATGCCTTTGCCTGAAAATGGGCTAAAACCTCCAAATGTGTTTTTTCATGTTTTTCCCCCCATGGAGAAAATCGTGGAATTGGGTGGTACTTCATTTTCCGACAAAGCCATTTTGAATCATTGAACTTGAAAGCCACGGGGTCAGGTTTAACAGAAAGTGGTGCGCAGTTCAACTTGTCTCACAAGTAGGTTGAGGACAGAATAATCATACTACATTGGTCCATAACTCCGTCGAACTAGTTCCAGTTCTCCGGTTCGTACAACCCCGAGCGGAAAAAATACGGGTTCGTCTTTTACAACATGTTTGTGCAGTTAGTACAACCCCTTATGTCTGCTGTGAATCTCCTCATTTCTTTTTCAATTTGCTCTCACATTTTTTGCCATGAAAATCATGTATTTCTCTTGTTGGTTCATGGGTATTCCTTTCACCAGCACCAGCAACCAATCTATGATGTTGTATCCCAAAGTCCACTGTATCCAAATCTCAACCTCACCTGAAATCAGGCCCAAATCTCAGACATTCCGTCGCGACGCGAGGTCATTATCATTTATCCAGATACGTCCCCATGATATCCCATTACATCATGATAATTATACCGTATTTTTTTAAAATGTGAATCACAATTTGTGTCGGTTCAACCACATATATCCATTATTAATATCATTATATAATTATTGGTTCAATCCTTGCTGTTGTTGCTTGATATACCTGATTTGATCGGCCTCTGGTTGAGTTGCTCTAAGCTGAGCATGGAGAAAAAAACGATGAGCATTCCGCCCACCTTGGAGCACCGGGGCCCTGGGCTTATCCCATAGGATTCATGGGATGATCCTGGGAACACCAGTTGTAAATTGCTATTAGAAACCCATCCAACTGTGGTTAAATCATGTATCCAGCATAAATTTCAGCGTTTATAAACCAAGCTACCAATATCTAGGGGGGGGCCCTTCTTGTCGCTCTGGTTAGGTTGGGATATTCTCCCATCAACATGGCATGCAAATACAAACAAATGAGATACACATTCACTGGCTACCAATGGCCTAGACTTCCCAAAAGAGTGACCATCTTCTTCTGAAGGCCAGGAAAAACCAACAAAAAATGTAGGAATCTCAAAGAGACCATGGGAATTTACCTTATAGAGACTACTTGGATGATAATCATGATAGGAAGACAACCAAGGCCTAAATGGATGATGGGGATCTAAGTTCACTGAAAAAACATGTCAGCGCGGATATACGTTGAAGACTTATCACAAAATGGCTGGTATTGTTTGAAAATTGGGTATATCATGGTGTATATATATATATATATACATACCCGCAGCACGTGCGCTACGCCCCACGGGTACTTCACTATATATGCTTTCATATGGTTTTTGCAGGTTTCTTTGGGGTTTCTTTATGGTTTCTTTAGGGTTCATTTAGGGTTTCTTTAGGGTTTCTTTAGGGTGAATTTAGAGTTTTTCCTAGGGTTTTTGTAAGTTTTCTTTACCGCAGAGGGTCAACAATCACGTCCCTCGCGCAGCCTCGTGAGGGACATGAAGTTTAACCATCTCAATATAGTGGAAGGATGTGGAAGGCCACAAAGTACTGTAAAGGTCACCAAAAAATGAGGTTCCCGACAATCATCCCAAAAGAGTTTGGGGCATAGCACAAGTGCTGGCTATATATATATATATATATGGTTGTTGATCAAAATTCTTTTATCCCGGAACGGCCATTCTTCGCGAATAAAAATTTTACTTTCGCGAAACTTTCGCAAACTCCATGTTTATCTTTCGCGGGGCCCATGTTGGCCAACAACACCTCTTATGAAGATTCGTTCACCACCTGCCAAATTACGCCAGAGAATCACGGATCACTTCTTGGTAGCCTTTTAAACATGCAGCTAGCATCACGGAATCCCTTCTCAGGACAGCTTTTTTTGCAAAGTTTACTGGCCCACCCCCTTCAACATGCACTTTGACTTTCGCCCGCTCTTTCGCATAACTTTCGCGGAACTTTCGCGAAATTATCCCTATTCACAGACCCCGGCCATCAGCAGGGGGGTGCACTGAAGGAAAAGCGAAGACCAGGGGCCTTGGTGTTTGGCTCTCGCAAAGCCTCACTTTTGGAAACTTGGCTACTGCTACTCGCATTCTCTGGTGCCCTTCTCCTGCCGGACCCCGGGCGGCAGCGGGTTGGCAGCCCTTTACATATAATGATTATAATACCCAACTTTCGCGAAACTTTCGCCAAATAAAATTTTACTTTCGCGAACTCGAAAAAAAACTTTCGCGAGGATTTCCAACATAACATGCACGGCTTTCGCAATTAAAACTCCTTACCAGGACCTTTAGATCGATCACCATATATATATATATAATTACACATATATACAAGAATTATGTTGTTTTGCGGCCCCCAAAGAGGGGCCAGATTCCGGACCCAAGAATGGGGTCGCAATTTACAAGTTAGAAGCCCAGCTTCTAAATTTGTGGGCACCATTTTTGGGCCCATGGTCTGGGCGCCGACCTTTCCGTAAAACGCGCATTGATTTCCGACAAGTTTCATCGCTCATCAATGTTTTCTTGCGCTGGGTTGCCAAACGCTGGTTTCACAATGGGGGCACGCCACAAAGAAAATCCCATTAAAAACTGATGAATTCCTATGAAAAACCTGAGAAATCCCATGAAAATCCCAATCTTTTCTGGCCAAGGGACCGGTGTGTGCGAGCCAAAGAGGCGTTGGAAAAAGTAGACCGCGATGAAGACACTGATGCCTCACAGATGTCGGAGCTTTCCTAAGTCATGGGGGTACCCCAATAGCTGATTGGTTTATGGAAATTGGAAAATCCTATGACAAATTGAGTTGGGGGAAAATCATACTATACTTTTTAGGAAACCGAGCCATTTCAGATGACTATGGATTCTGAAATCCTGCAGCAGTTGGCAACTAGGAAGGTTTCTAAATCATTTTTTTTGCTGGGATGTTGCAACCATCTAAGGTGCAGGATTTCGCTGCCCCATCCACTGTAGGATACAAACGTGGGAATATCTGGGAACGAAATAGGATTTGAAGTTCCTGATAGGATTGAATAGGATTGAATGGGATATCTAACCAGCTATGTGATATTTGGGTATATTTGGGTGTCTGGAAATGGGCGATACCTCCAATTCTAGCCATTTCGGAAAATGATGGTTCACCATGATTGACCATTGGGTGTCTAGGGGTACATTGACATGATTTTCAGAGAGACCCATTTGGAGGTTTCCTAAGTCATAGTGGCACCCGAAGAATCATCCAAGCGATTGGTTATGGGAAAAAAACACCCATTTACCATGAGAAAAAGCTGATCTTGCCATATTTTCACAGCATCAAAAAATTGGTTGTACAGTAACCGAGAAAATATTGCGAGATAAACAACACGAAGATGGATTTGATTCGAGAACATACTGGCAAGTCAAGAATTCACGAACAAACGTGCGGATGTTACCAACATAACAATAAGAGTAGGAAATTACTTTACTATCGTACATGTGGATTTCGCTAGGAAGCAATGGATTTTAACCAGAAACTTCAGGAAACATCGGATTGTGTCCGAGGACTGCAAAATATATGTATGCACCACGGGTGCACCCTGCCAAAACACACCTAAACAAACATAGAAGCTAAGTTAACTGTCATTATATGCTGGTTGGTGGTATACCTACCCCTCTGAAAAATATGAGTTCGTCAGTTGGGATGATGAAATTCCCAATATATGGAAAAATAAAACATGTTCCAAACCACCAACCAGCATGTCATTACACATCATGAAAACAATCTTCCAGAGCTGTATTTTTTTCGGCTTCGGTCTTCGTTTTTGGAGGCTGACACAACTTAAAACCCAAAGCTGGCGGCTGCGGCACCGAAAATCCTCTGCAGGTTCAGCTGCACGTACTGCCAAGCGCCTACATGGCTGTCAGGGGAAACGGGGAAACGGTTTTCTACATCTTATTATGATTTATGATGTATGTAAAGTGGATCAGACTGAAATTCCTGAAACATGTTTCTGAAAAATCTTGGAATAAAATGGAATAAGATGATCAATTTGAATCAATCTTGTTGGATATATAGACTTGTGGCTGTTGATCTAAATTATATCATCATCAAACTTGTGCTGTTCCATGATCACCATCAAAATTATGATCTTGATATAGCCATATATATCTAAACATATGATATATCAAATTTATTCAAATTTATTATATCACTATCACTATCAAAATTTATATCACTAAACAGCCATTTAAGTAGCCCTGGCCAGAAAGTCTCTAGCCAAACTTCTGCGAACTGGAAACGGCAACAGCTCCACTGCACCAATCCGCAAGCAATTCACAGTAATTCCAGAAGCATTACCATCTGGTAAACATACAAAAAACTATGGAAAATCACAATTTTTAATGGGAAAACTCACTATAAGTGGCCATTTTCCATAGCTATGTTAGTTT